TTTGAGCTCAGAGCTTCCTGGAGGAGGAGGCCTCTGAGCTGAGCCTTGAGGGACAGAAGGTTTGGGTGGATGGAGAGGAGAGGGGAGGCAGCCCTACTTGGAAGAGGCTGGGGTCAGGCTGAGGGATCCGTGCTTCGGTTCATGTGCTACAGGGGGCAGGGGGCATGGAGGAGAAGAGGAAGATAGGGAACATCTTGGGAGGAACAGGCCAGGGCTCACGGTCTGGGAGGGCAAGGTGGACTCCAGTTTAAAGGCCCAAGAAGGTGTCAAGACCCCATCCCTTAATGCCCAGGGACATCGTCTGCAGTTGTGTCCTCTGGGCCCCAGGTGCGACCTCTTCTAGGAGTAGCACATTCAAGAAGAGAAGCAAGTTTCTCAGACTCTTCAGGGGCGAAGGCCCGATTACAGTAGGATCTCAGACGGGATTCACCCAGAGCTGTCGCGCTGGGCCCGCAGGCGCTGTTCGTGGTGCTGCTACTCGGCTGGCTCTTCGCGCCGGTGTACCTGACCGCGGGCGTCATTACGATGCCTCAGTACCTGCGCAAACGCTTCGGGGGCCATCGTATCCGCCTCTACCTGTCGGTGCTCTCGCTTTTTCTGTACATCTTTACCAAGATTTCGGTGCGCATGCGCGGCGGGCGGGGCGGGACCCTGGAAGGGCGGGACCCTGGAAGGGCGGGACCCAGGAAGGGCGGGACCGCGGAGTAGAGGTCTCCAGAAAGCCTTGGAGGGGGCGGGATCAAAGAGAAATCGCTGTAAGAATCATGACAGAGACAGGCCCTGGCAGGAGTAGGTTTCTGGGGCCACGGCCACAGTGGGTGGGAGTTGGGAAGGGCGGGCCATTGAAAAAGGAGGGGACCTTTGAGGCGTGGCCATGTAGGACTGTGGTCTGAGCAGGAGGTGGACCTGGGTCTCTGCCCTGACCCCTGGGTCCTGACCTGCGTGCTCGCTCCTTACCCCAAGGTGGACATGTTCTCCGGGGCGGTATTCATTCAGCAGGCTCTGGGCTGGAACATCTATGCCTCTGTCATCGCGCTCCTGGGCATCACCATGATCTACACTGTGACAGGTGGCCGTGGCAGGGGCTTAGGGAACGGAGCCGGCTCGGGAGCCGCGCTAGGAGTGTGGATGTGAGGGCGGGTTGAGGGGAGTCACCATAGCAAGCGGGGTGGGGAGGTTCTGAAGTGTGATGTGGTCCCAGAAGGAGAAGGACCTAAATCTTTGGAAAGCGAAGTCCTTCTCTTTCCCCACTGTTCCTTGGATTTGGACTGGAAGTTCAGAGCGCTGGGCCCGTGCTGGGCCCGGGAAAGAGGAAGATTTTATTTAGCAGCTCTTACTCTTCTTGAACGCCTGGGAGGGGAGAGGGGACTTGGCCAGTCTCCAGGATTGCTCACCAAACCCCGTGCAGTTCAGAGGGTCCCGGGGTGGGGCCCGAGGCCAGACACTGGACCAGAGTGGATGGGGCCTGGTCTCCGGGATGGGATGGAACTGAGAATCGGACCTTAGAGAATCACCCCTTCCTGTTACACAGACGAGAAAACTGAGGCCTAGAAGGGGAACTTTAGTGAGGGTCTTGCACGTGGGCGCCTGGCCAAGGGGACATCAGTGGAGCCTAAAACCCAGCTACCCTCCTGACGCCCGCGTGCAGGAGGCTGGGGAACGGGCCATCGTTTTGAAATTTGTTCTCCAGGAAGGGGCACCTTTTTCAAATTCGCACGGACACCGCATGTAGGGGCAGCCTGTCTGGGTTGTCCCCACTGACCCAGGCCTGTTGCAGGAGGGCTGGCAGCGCTGATGTATACGGATACCGTGCAGACCTTCGTCATTCTCATGGGGGCCTTCATCCTCATGGGTTACGGTACGGGTATCAGCCAGCGGGGAGGTCGCGGGTCACAGAGCTCTCAACCTGGGGGCACGGACTTTGCGCATTTTCGGCTTGTGGGTCCTAGGGAGGGCCTTGGCGCGGACGCCAGGTCCCCTGACGGCCTTGCTCTTACAGCTTTCCACGAGGTGGGCGGGTATTCAGGGCTTTTTGACAAATACTTGGGGGCAATGACGTCGCTGACGGTTTCCGAGGATCCGGCCGTGGGCAACATCTCCAGCTCCTGCTATCGACCCCGCCCCGACTCCTACCATCTGCTCCGGGACCCTGTGGCGGGGGACCTGCCGTGGCCCGCGCTGCTCGTGGGGCTTACCATCGTCTCAGGCTGGTACTGGTGCAGCGACCAGGTGCGGTTAGTGCTTGGGCGGGGAGCAAGGCTGGTGCGGAACCAGAACCGCTGTGGGCGGAGCTGAGATGGGCGGAGCCTGAACCCATCAGGGGAGCTAGGTCGAAGGCGTGGCCTGAGGGGGCGGGAACCGGACCAGGGTGGAGCTAAACCAGATGGAGCCGGATCCAAGAGGCAGGGTCTGCATGTGGAACGAATTGCTGGCACCTCTGAGCCAGAGGCGAGTCCTGAATTAAAGCGGCGAGCTGAGGCAAGGCCCGACGGAGGGGGTATCCAGGACTGGATGCAGGTAGTTGAATGCCCCTCGTCGCAGGTCATAGTGCAGCGCTGCCTGGCCGGGAAAAACCTGACCCACATCAAGGGGGGCTGCATCCTGTGCGGCTACTTGAAGCTGATGCCCATGTTCCTCATGGTCATGCCCGGCATGATCAGCCGAATTCTTTACCCGGGTAACGACTTCATCCCCGCCCCGACCAAGAGTCCTATGTCCCATCCAGCCCCTTTGTTGTGCAAGGATCCAGGTGCCTGTCTCCCATTTCCGTTACCATGTTAAGATTTGGGAATCTGGTCACCCAGTCCCATCTCCCACCGGTGGTCCCATCTCTCCTCCACTAGGATTCCCCGTCCCTGCTTTAGGGATCTGAGTTCCCAGACTAGGTCCCGTCCTAGCCGTGTCGTGCCGTTTCCCGCAGACGAGGTGGCGTGCGTGGTGCCCGAGGTGTGTAAGCGAGTGTGCGGCACTGAAGTGGGCTGCTCCAACATCGCCTACCCGCGGCTCGTCGTGAAGCTCATGCCCAGTGGTGAGGGCGAGCACCCGGGTATTCCCCTGCTCACACGCGCAGACACGCTGCAGACTCCCGCTGGGACAAGTCACCCCTCGCCTAGCCCACACCCTCCCAGGACACCCTGGTGGCCCTAGACTCATGGCTCCCATTGGCCCGCAGGTCTGCGCGGACTCATGCTGGCGGTCATGCTGGCCGCGCTCATGTCCTCGCTGGCCTCCATCTTTAACAGCAGCAGCACGCTTTTCACCATGGACATCTACACGCGGCTACGACCCGGCGCAGGCGACCGCGAACTGCTGCTAGTAGGACGGTGCGGCCTGGGTTTACCTCCATCTCCTCATCTACTAACCAGCTCGGCGTCGGGGCAGGGAGCACCGGTAGAGTTGTGGGGAGATGGAGGTCCTGGGTGACATCTCATGGCCACCCACCACAGGCTCTGGGTGGTGTTCATCGTGGCCGTGTCGGTGGCCTGGCTACCTGTGGTGCAGGCGGCGCAGGGCGGGCAGCTGTTTGATTATATCCAGGCAGTCTCCAGCTACCTAGCGCCACCTGTGTCCGCTGTCTTCGTGCTGGCGCTCTTTGTGCCCCGCGTCAACGAGAAGGTGAGTGTGTGTATGTTGTGAGCCTGGGGCAGGACCAGGACATCCCCAGGAGGCTGATGCTCTCTCCCCCCACAGGGTGCCTTCTGGGGACTGATTGGGGGCCTGCTGATGGGTCTGGCGCGCCTTATTCCGGAGGTCTCCTTTGGCTCTGGCAGCTGCACGCGACCCTCGGCATGCCCAGCTCTCCTCTGCGGCGTGCACTACCTCTACTTTGCCATCGTGCTCTTCATCTGCTCTGGCCTCCTCACCCTTGTAGTCTCACTGTGCACAGCACCCATCCCGCACAAGCATGTAAGTGCCGGCCACTGGAGGGGCACCAAACATGCACCACGTGAGCTAGTGCAACCTTCTCCACCCGCAGTCTGCCAGTCCCCTTCCAGGAATGCCCGCTGGGGAGGACCAATTTCTACATAGGGCTGGTGAGGGCAGGCTAGGAGTGCATTCTGAAGTTGCATTTGCAAATCAGGCACACTGTTTTATTTAAATGACATTTATTTGAGGTGGTTTGGGAGGACATGACTTGAAGATTGTGGGGGAAGTGATTAAAGCCCCCGAAAACCCTTGGCATGGCCTTTGGCACTCAAAACACAGAACCTGACTGGTGGCTGAGCAGGACAGAGTACTATAGTGAAAGCCCACAAAAGGGTTTGGTCTTGTGCTGCTGCAGGGCGGGTGCTCCAGGGCAGGGCTGACTGGAGGGCAGGACAAGAGAGCTGGGCCAGGAAGGATGGGCAGGATTCGTCAGTGGAGAAGGGGGGAAGGCAGCAGGAGGAAACTATGTGAGCAAATACCCACAGGAAGGACCACTGTAAGGACTGTAAGACTAGAGTCTAAAGTACGGTACTGCAATTTTGAGTGTAGACAGGGGACTTGGGGTGATGAAGCAGGGGGGTGAGCAGGACCAAGAGGAGCTCGGGTTTAGTTGGAGGCAGCCATGGAAGGTTGGCTTTGAGTGAGCTGAGCCCGGGCTGGGTATGCAGGCTGGACAGAGAGGAGGTTAGGGAGTGCCAGTGTGGACAAGAGGCCTGAAGATCTGCGGTGAGGGAACAGAACTGCCACTTGGTCTCTGTTCCCACCCTTCCCCAGCTCCACCGCCTGGTTTTCAGTCTCCGGCACAGCAAGGAGAAGCGGGTGGACCTGGACGCTGATGAGCTGGAAGGTCCAACCTCACCCCCTGTACAGAATGGGTGCCCCGAGCATGCAGTGGAAATGGAGGGTAAGGCACTGCCCCAGGAGGTGGGGTAGGGAGCTGGGGGAGCCAAGTTCCCTCACACTAACTGTAGGGCCTCAATTCTTCCCAGAGCTCCAGTCCCCAGCACCAGGCCCATTCCGCCGGTGCCTGCTCTGGTTCTGTGGAATGAGCAGGGGTGGGGCAGGCAGTCCGCCAGCTCCTACCCAGGAGGAGGTGGCTGCAGCAGCCAGGCGGCTGGAAGACATCAGTGAGGACCCGAGCTGGGCCCGTGTGGTGAACATCAATGCCCTGCTCATGATGGCTGTGGCCATGTTCCTCTGGGGCTTTTATGCCTGAGGCCAACTGTGTTGGACACCATAAGCCACAGCCAGGGCAGGGCTCAGCCTCACAATGAGTGGGGGTGAGGAGCCTGCAGTGGTGAGAAGGGAGTGGGGCAGGAGGGGGAGGGGGAAGGCCCTGGTTCCCCTTCTCTCCACCTTGTCTCTGCCTGGGGTCCAGTCCATCTGACTGGCAGTCACTTCCTCTGAGGCCCTGGCCAACCTGCCACGCAGTTCCCCTAAGCAAAAATAAAGCTGCCTTTCCCACGTTCTGCTGTGGCCAAAGTGTCCTTGCTCCAGGCTCCTGTCCTGGGACCTGGACCTCTGTCTGGGCTGCTCATGAGAACTTCTTTTCTGGAGACAGGAGCCATGTGGCCCTCCACTCATCCACCTCTAGCTGGTGCTTCTCAGTCTTCCAGCCCGCATCCTGCAATCCTGGGGAGAGGTCATGGGGGTGCTGCCGGGACTGCTGGGGAGGAGACTCTGGGCTGCCCCTGGGGAGGAGGGTGAGGAGCGGCACAGGCCGGGCGCGGCTTTGTGCACTGCTTAGGCTCCCCTTGCTTCTCCTGGGTAATCTCTGGCGTAAAATAAGGTTAAAACCTCATTTGGTTGCAGCAAGAATTCATTGAGCTAGCACACGGAAAAGGGCTACAATAGAGTAGGTGCCAAATAAAAGACCATCATCAGTAATCTGGGAGCCTCCCCTTGCCACCGGTTCTTCAATGCCAACTGGGATTACACAAACTGTCAACACTGACACAGCCCTCAGGGACCATCCTAACCTCCCTATCCTGCAGACAGGGAAACTGAGGCCCAGACTTAAGCTCACAGAGAGAACTGCAGTCCTCCACCTCCCAGGTGGAGGGGTGGGGATGGGGAGGCAGGGTCCCTGGGCAGAAGGCCTCAGAGGCCAAGGAGCCATAGGGCTGAAGGATGTTGTTACCTTTCAAGAACTTTGGGAATAGCTTGTCCAACACTCGGTGCGTCTCCCTGACGATGACCCAGCTCTCTTTCTCAGGACCTGGTGGGGGAAGGTGACCCAGAAGCTCTCAGATCTCCAAGCTGAACAGGGAGTCCTTCCTTTTTCCACCCCACTTCTAGTCATCTGGTTTAGATTGGGAGGTGCTTACCTGCCTGTACTCGGTTCCTCAGTTCCTCCAGCTCTCCCGGGAGGGGCCCATCTCCCCGCAGGGCTCCAAGCACCAGCCCGTGTGTGGCGGCCCTCAGGACGGTCTCAGGGCCTGCCATCTGGCTCAGAACTACCTGTACATGGTCTGGAAAGACCCAGGGACAGACTGGTACCAGGGAAGGGCCACCTCCCTAAACACTCTCAACCCTGCCACCCTGCTTCATCCCTGTCTGCCCCCAGAGGCCTTGGCCTGGCATGAAAGGCCATCTCTCACCCTTTCCTTTCCAACTTCATCTCATGTTGCTCCCCAATGCTCTGGACACAATGAAATGCCCAACTTCCAAATACAACTTCACAGCAGCTCACTGAGGTTGGTTCATTTTGCATGTCTTTAATGGCCAGTGAGAATAAGCACCTTTTTTTTTTTTTCTTTTGGTGAGGAAGATCAGCCCTGAGCTAACATCTGCAAATCCTCCTCTTTTTGCTGAGGAAGACTGGCCCTGGGCTAACATCTGCGCCCATCTTCCTCCACTTTACATGCGACGCCGCCACAGCATGGCCTGACAAACGATGCGTCGGTCTGTGCCTGGGATCTGAACCCCGGGCCACTGCAGCAGAGCGCGTGCACTTACCCGCTATGCCACCAGGTCAGCCCAAGAATAAGCACCTTTTAACAGACAACTAGCAGACCAGGAAACTCGAGTACTTGTTTCCTCAAGTGGTGACCCCAGATGGAGAGAAAAGTGGCTCCTCAGGGATAACCCAAGGCCATACTCTATGAGTAAGTGTGTTGCAATGTACAAAGTGCTTGTACATACCTTTTTTGATTCTCATAAAAACACTGCAGGTATTAAGGCAGGTATTGTTAGCTCCATTTTACAGAGAGATAAAGTGAATTTCATTGGGGCATGCAGCTATGATTTGAATGTGTCAAGTCTCGTCCAGAGCTCACTCCAGGACACCAGGCAGCCTCCAAACTGTCCAGGGCTTGGGGCCCTGAAGCTGGAGGAATGAGAAGCTGAACCCAGGAGGGCGAGTCTAAGGCTGGGAGAATGTGGCGCACTTACTTTTTGACTGGTCCCAGTGAAGGAGGTAGGGTTCTTGGTGCCCCTCAACCAGCTGTTGCAGCTCAAAGACACTGAAGGAAAGAGAGTGCAGTGGGGGAGGAGAAAGCAAAAGTAGGAGCAACCATCCAGTCAACTGAACAGCTACCTGTTAACCATAACTGACCATCCTTCATCTGTCCTTCACCCACTTCCCAGCTCTCCCTCAGTCATGACCCAGGCACCCCACATCCATCCTTCCTTTCTTCCTGCATCCATTCCTCCATTTTCCTTATCCACCCTTTCCTCCTTCATCCAACAAATACATCCATTATATCTACTCTGTGTTATACAATCTGCTGCCCTCAAGCACCCATACTGACCCCGAAGTCTGTTCAGTAGAGATAAAGAACCTAGAGCAGAGAGGTGGGGCCTGGTCAGGGAGGCCAGTGTGTAACTGGAATAATGAGCATGTGTGGGGAGTGGGAGTAGTGAGTAGGTGGGAGACACTGGGCCACTCACCTGGAGATCAAGCAGTGTAGGGGGACGCCCAAAGATAGAGACACAGATGGCCAGAAACCTGTGGGAAGCTGGAGTCAGGATGTCCAGGCAGGGGGAGACACTGGGAGACACAGAACTTGAGACCAAGGGGTTGGGTCACCTGTCCACAGTGGTTCCATCTGATTGGCTGAAGTGGGGCCAAGAACCTCTCCACTCTGAAGGAAGTGCTTCAGGACCAGCCAGAGCCGGCCCTCGTTCAAGGTCTCTATGACAAGGGCTCGGACTGCCCGGTAGTTGGCGTAGATGTGGAGGGCAGTGAGGAGGAAGAAACAACCAAGGCTGAAGCTGGGGTGACAGAGTAAGGTGGTCAGTGGGGGCAGAGGCCTAGCTGGGCACCTCCTCCCCGCCCTTAATCCCAGCTTACCCAGGGGAATCTGACACCAGAGGAAGCATCAAGAGGCTGACCAGGAGCCCTGCCAGGTTTACCAGCGTCTCCTGGAAAATGGCAGAGGGGTTGGGAATTGGAAAGCTCCCCTCCAGGCTAGACTAAATATCCTTGAGTGCCTTTCACCACAATCCTCCCTCCTCTGGAACCTCCCCAGGCTCCCTATACTGATGAGGGTGCCTAGTAAATTTTTAATATTTTTGTTGAGGGAGCTGTCATTTAAGATACCAGCTGCTTTTCTGCCCAGGTAGATGCAATGCTGTTGGAATGTCTTCTTTGTTTTGCAAGAGTCACCTGAGTAGCCCTACACTCAGGCAAGTGAATGTCCATAGAGCGTGGAACTACTTTTATTTGGTGGTTTAAAAAGGCTGATCACCACCAGCCCATTGGTATGCAATAACTGGCAGGCACTTTTGCAAAGGGGTCAAGGAACCACCCAGGAAGAAAGGTATAAGATCTAAACCTCTTCCCTTGAGAATCAGTGTTATCAGACCCCTCTGATGGCCCGAGATGGCCTGACTGAGCTCACCCTAGGGGAAAAGACTCCAGGCCACCTGCCCCCGACTCATCATGAGGGAGGAGTCTGGATAGGTGCCCCTGACTATGGGGTCCTCAGGAGAGTTGGTCCTGGCAGAGTGGGCCTGAGACTAGAGGGCTCTTCTTACTCAGCCATCCTGGCAAGGGGGTGGGCCATGGAAATAAAGGCTGTGGGTGTGACAGTAAACTGGGGATCAGGGGCCTTGGGAGCTCAGGAGCAGAGGAACCTCCTCTCCTCTAGGTGGGAACAGTCATTTCTGGCAGCCACATTAAGTGGCAACAAAGCAACATCAGCAGAAAGCAGGGGCCTGCTGCAGGACTGAGCACACGTCCTGGGTTGCTCCTGTGATGTGTTACCGCCTCTGTGGACTGAGGAAGCCCTGGGGCCTTGGAAAATACAGCTTGAGGGTGAGGGGATGGCTGGGAATTAGAAAGAGAGCAGATGAGAGACAACAGGCATGAAGCTGGGAGATCCTACAGACTACGGCCTGGATTGTACTTATTTCTCCCTCCCTAACCACCTATGGAGGAGATAACGGGGAAGAATTAGTCCAACCACTTCCTGAGAGAAGGGACGTGCCCAAAGGTACCCAGGGAGACCAAAGCTCTCTATGCCTTATTTCCTCATCTGTAGAATGGCAACAATGAGTACCTCCTGCACAAGACCATTGTAAGGATTTAATGAGTTCACAGAAATGAAATACTTGGCACATGGTTAATACTTAATAAATATTAGCTTGTGTTAATATTATTGAAAGGAGTGAATCTTAATTTTTTTTCAAATGAAGTTCTATTTAGAAACTGAACAAAACAATATAAGAGAAGGCCAGAAAAGTAGGACTGGACAGAACAGAGATTTCTAAATTGCTTCAGTCAAAGAAAACCATGTCACACTTCTGACCTCCCTGGGCCTCACTTCCCCCATCTGTAAAACAGGGATAATAACAGTATCTACCTCATAGGGTTGGTGTGAGAGTTAAATGATGCAGTGCACATAAACACTTAGCATGGGGGCTTAGGAGGGGATCTAATACCTGTAAGATTCAGCCTTAGGGGTGTCCCCACCCCTACTGCAGGCTCCCTTGGTCAGCTGAGGGGCTGCCAGAGGGCCTGCTAAACTGCTGAGTGGAGGCCTTTGCCCAGTGACCCCAGCAACCTCACATGCTGAGCACTTTTTGACTTGCCAAGTGCTTTAACATGTGGGCCTCATGTGATCAGAACATCCACCTCCCAGGGTGTGGCTCTAGCCTACAGTGGGCGAGGGCCAGGGCAAGGGCTCACTCTCAGGCACATGGGCAGCAGGCAGGGGCTAAGATGATCAGCTTAGACTTGCCACCAAAGCCCGTGTCCTCATATCGGACTACCTATCCTGAGAGTCAGAGCTTGGGGCAGCACCGACATTTCTTCCTGTGTGTCTCCTACTCCTACCCCCAGAAGCACTCAGGTGCTTCTCTCCATACTCCCAAATTGTGGCCTGGCCTGATGTCCCCCCATTCTCCCCCACACTATCCTTCTAATACCGGCTGCTCACCTGACTGCTATCCTTGGCTGACACATCGGCCATGTTGTTTCTCCGGGCCTGGTGCATGGTCAGTGCAGCCCGGGTGGCCCCGCCAGCCACGCTTACAATGCACTGGTGGGGAAAGGGAAGAGTGAGGGTCAGAGCAGCCATGAGCTGTGGCAACACAGTTGCCAAGCAAATGGCTCACACTAGCTTGAGAAAACCACGCATTAGGCCACCACACAGCAAAACCCTGAATGCCGTCCTTGGTGTCTTGTTCTCAGCCTGCACATCCACTAGGCCCACCTCCTGTCTTGTTCCAGGAGAAGACTAAACTAAAGTTTTGCCTGCCATACCACCCTGTGGACCAGGCCCCAAGGAAACTCAATTTCTTTCCCCAAGGTGGAGGCCCAAAGACCATTCTGAGCCCACAACTTCCCCAGCCTCCAATTTCTACTTTGGCTGCACCCTCCCTGTTGTTGAGCTCCCAGGCCCAATCTGGTTTCTAACTTTATGCTTAACTTTTGCCTGCCTGTGACTAACTCCACTCTCTTCCTGCCCTAGTTGAGGCCTGTCCAAGCCTTCCAGGCCAGTTCAAAACCCACACCATTGGCCCCGACCTCCCAGGCACCTGGATCTCCCCCTCTGAGATCTAGGATGGTAAAGCTCATTGATGAGGATTACTGATCACCTTCATTCATCTCATATTTACCAAATCTCTTAGATGCCAGCCACAGATTTAGGTGCTGTGATACAATTCAGACACAACCCCTGCCCTCATGAAGCTTAAAAATCAACAGATGATAAACTAGTTATTATACAGGCAGAGTTTGTTCAAAGGTAAGAGGAATGTGGTGCAAAACGAGGCTGGAGTGACTGGCTCGGACCTGATCCCATGGAATCTTGCAAGCCTTGTTAAAGTCTTGATACTAAGAGCAATGAGGGCAGGAAAGTGACCTGATTTGATTTCCACTCTTAAAAGGATTATTAGGCTGCCCTGAGGACTGAGCAGGGGTGAGACTGGAAATAGGGGGACTACCTAGGAAGTAACTGTGCTTTTTCAGCAGTCAGGAGTGACCAGGTGACATGGAGGTGAAGAAGTGAACAGATTGGAGAGATTTAGGAGGGGAAATAACAGAACTGAATGGAGGTTTATTTGAGGGTGACAGGTGAGGGGGGAGGAGAAGGCATGGATGACAGCCAGGTTTCTGGTTGGTGTACCTGGGGGACAGAGGTGCTCGTCATGGAGACTAGAACTCCAGAGAGGGTTGGGGGTGAAGGGGAGAAGGAAGATTATAGCCCTGTTCTCTTTCCTTATTTGACAGATGAAGAGACTGAGGCCTCAAAGGTGGAGTTTAGTGCAGAATTTAGGCAGAGGTCACAATCCCTGGTCCACAGCTATAGTAGTGGTTTTCTCTGGGGTTTCCTGCCCCGGGGGAGGAGGGTTGCTCATGGCATTTAGTGCCTGAGCCAGGGAAGCTAAATGTCCTCCACCACAAAGAACTGCTGCATCCAAAACGTTAGTAGTGCCCTGTCGAGAAACACCGCTCTAAAGTGATTCTGAACAGGCAGACGGGCCTTTGAGATGGATCTTACCTGTCTTCTGAAGAGTCTTTACTCTATGCCAGGTACTTAACCCTGTGGTGAAGACAGGCTAAGCTCTTTATTGAACCTTGCTAGGCCTCAGCATCCCCACTGGATGAGGCCAACCTGAAGAAACTATGAGGGTGAGGGCCTGGCAGAGAAGAGCTCGCATTTACCCCACTTGCCCCGCCAGCCTCACTGTCCAGTCTGTGCTCTGTCTGGCCACCAGACCTTGACCTACGCTGTTCTTTTTGCTCAGAACACCCACCCTGCACCTTATTCTTCAAGACCCAGCCCCAGGAGAGGCCTTCCCGCCTCCTGTGACTGGCCAGATTCCCTGCTGAACCTTCTTGCAGCCCCCTCCACTTCCCATCTGGAATACCTGTAGCTATAATTCTATAAATATTTGTTTAATTATGTGTGGCCTTCCTTCAAAGACAAGAGGGCCCATACTCTGTGCCAAACTTGCAGTAGGCACCCAATAAATATTTTAGGGAAAGGATGAAAGGTAGCCAGAGGATTGGTCTCAAGATGTTGACACTGGGACACCATTTCTCTCTCAGCTCAGATCTCCCTCACCAGAACTGTGGCTCCAGAGACTGCCCTCGCCTGACTACCTGAGGCAGTGGAGGCTCTTGGGCTGGAGGAAGATCATATAATTGGGTCCAAGTAGACACACTTGAACTTTTTTACTCTTCTAGAAGCGCCTTGAACACAAGGTCCAGGCAGGGCTCAAGGCAGATATCTAGAGTATAGGGGTGCCCCAGAGGTAGGTACCTTGGCCAGGTTGCTGGTGCAGACGATCATGGTGAAACAGATTGGGTATACAGGAGCCATAATCTCAAGAAACATGGCTACATCATTGAGGATGTCAGCAAAAAGCCTGGCGGAGGGGATCAGAGGTTAGAGGTCAGAGGTAAGAGACCCTTATAATAGAAGACTCTCCTCCCCTCTGTCCCAGCCCCTCCTCACCTCCACTGCTTGGCATTACAGTCCAGTTTGCTCCTGTTGGGGAGGAGACGTTGGTTTACAATTTGGATTTAAGGAGAAAACACATCCTGTGGGCAGTGCAGGCCATCCTTAAGCTGAGGTAAGGTCCAAAGGTCTCAGGAAAACCCATACCCAAGCCAGATCTGTCCCAACACTGTCACTGCTGCCTGAAATGCCGTCATTAGCTGGGAGGACTTTCAGTGGTCACTTAGTGTTTCCCCCTTACTAACCCATAATGCACCAAGGAAAAAAACTGATTGTCTTGTGGCTGCTCCCCACCTTTGCCCCTCTTCCGAGAGAGGGTCTCCCTGGGTTCCTCTGCCATCTCCCCTCTACTTCCTCCTGCTCATCAAGGGTACCCAGCAAGAAGTGCACGTATTTTGGACTGGTAACCAATACATTTAGTGTAGGCCCTGCATCTTACAGATAACTAGCCCAGAGAGGGGATATGACTTCCCTCAGATTACATGGAGAGTGGGGGGAAAAGGCCAAGAGAAAGAGCCAGGCTCTGACATCCAAGCCTAGGATATTTCTATTACACAAGACGACGGCTGCCTCTTCTGCCAGGTAGAGTGACTCCCTGGCCCATGCACAAATACCAGGGGACCACTTCTCTACAACTCCAGTGGCAGGAGATGTTGCCGCCCCCAGCCCAGCTGAGAATTTGCAGCATTAGCCCTAACTCTTAATTTGCAATCTCCCGGAGGGAAACAGAGCATTCCTTGGTGAGGTCTGGGACACACATGGGGAGCTCTGGAGGAAACATATGACAAAGGCAGGACTAGAACACATGGGTCTGGTCTAGGGCTCTACCCAATAAAGCAGCCTGATACTACGGAAAGAGTACAGGCTTTAAGCTTAAATCCCATCTCACTAGTTACAAGCTATGTGATTTGGGTGAGTAACTTCTCTCTTTTAGGTTTGCTTCCCATCTGTAAAATGTACACATTTAATCCTACTCTACAAAGTTGTTCTAAGGCTGATACATATAGACAGCTTGTGAGGCATAGAGCTGTTACTAGCACCTAGTGTTTACTTATTATGTGCCATGTAATGTGCTAAGCACTTTGCATAAACTATGTCACTGAACTTCACAATGACAATGGCAGATACTAAGTCACTCTTGAGGTTGCCCAGTACTGACTCGAGGAAGCAGGCAGCACAACATCCTTAATCCCTTCTAGATAAATAATGACACTGATTCCATGTGGAACAAGGATCCTGATGACCTGCCCAAGCCCACTCCCTACTCAGCTCAGCAAAGTCCAACCAAGCGTCTGAGCCACCAAAGTAGCCTCTGGAGTAAAGTTATCCCTTTTGGATTAAGCACTGTCCCTTTCAGGCTTCTTTTTCAACATGCAAACTTAGAGCCTTGTGGCTCTCTGTGTTTTTCCGTGATGGGCATCAGAGTGGCAAATCAGTGCTCTTGAAAGCAGATCTGATCACAGCAAAGGCTCTGTGGCTCCACGGGTAGGTGACTCTGGGCAAGCCACCAGGATTGGGCACTCACTAAAGACTCCTTAGCTCTGAAAATATTAATTGCTAAATCTCCCCTCCCCTGGAGACTTGTAGGAGAGAGGGGGAGCTGAAAATACAGCCAGGACTGAAACAGACATGACCTGTCTGGGGAGAGTAGCTGGAAGTCTGCTGACTGGGAAGACAAACTCACCCCTTCCACCAGGCAAAGACGATGCGGCCCAGCATGCCAGTTGAATCTGGGGGAGAGAGGCACTGGTGAGAACAAGGAAGAGCTTTGGGGCCTGTGGGGCCTAGCAGACCCTGGCATTGAAATGGCTGATTCACCTTGGGTCACGGCTCTTGGGAGCTCAGTCTAGTAAGCTAAGTTCTGGATAGACACAGCTGTACAATGGGGTCAGAAGTACCTAGACTTAGCAGTTCCTCAGTATGTACCCAAGAGAACTATGTACCCATGCACACCAAGAGACATGAACCAGAAACATTCTTTGCAGCATTGTTCATAATAGCAAAAAACTGGGAATAATGCAAATGCTCATCAACAGGAGAATGCATAAATTCTGGTACATTCACTCAGCAGCATATTAGACAGCAGCGAAAATCCAGTGGACTATAACTACTCACATCAAAATGGGTGAATCCTAGTATTATAATCTTGCGTGAAAAAGTAAGCCATGACAACTCATACAGCACAATGCACTTTTCATAAAGCTCTAAAACAACTAAAACTAAACAATACGGTGTTTAGGTAAATATATATCTAAATGGTAAAACTATTAAAAAAAGCAGGAAATCTTGTGTGGAAAGTTCAGAGGTTATTGTTGATATTCTAGCTCTTAGGTTGGGTAGTGAGTTCACTGGTGGTCATCAGACTATAAATAAATAAAAGATTTGAACTGCAGGTTGGAGACAGAGAGCTGGGGATGCAAGGCAGAGGGAGAGGCCTCCTTAGGCCCGGGAGAGTCAGTGAAGTCTCCAGAATCAGCTAGACCTTCATTTGTACAACAAATGCTTACTGGCTACCTACTCTGTGCCAGGCACTACAGGAGGCATGGGGGATACAACAGTGACCCAGAAAGTCATGGTTCTAGGCTCAAAATCCAGTACAAAAGCAGACAGCCATCAGTATGAAAAACACTGGTTTAGACTAAGGATCAGTTAACTGTGGTCTGTGGGCTTGCACTCTCTGTTTCTATAAATAAAGTTTTATTGGAATCCAGCTGTGCCCATTCATTTACAGACTGTCTTATGGCTGTTTTCATGACACAACGGCAGAATCAAGTTGCTGTGACTGAAACCATACATCCTGCAAAGCGTAAAATATTTACCATCTGGTCCTTTACAGAAAGTTGGCCAACTCTTGATTTAGACTATACCTCATACTGAGAGCAGCACTCGTTAAGTTCAACGGGGATCACAAAGAACTGTTTCAGAACCAAACAACTGGCAAGGCTTCATACAGGAAGGGACAGATACAGTGGGCAAAGGACTCCCAACGTGTTTGAGCTTGAGGGTATGGACCTGTAAGTGGGGGATACAAAGAGATGGGAAACTAGCTTGTAGGAAGGAGGGCTGGGAGCTTCCCACAACATGTGAAGGTGGACACAGGCCAGCCTTCCCCATTTTCCACTGCAAACAGATGTACTCACCCCTTGCCACAACCTCCATCCTTGGGCATTGAGGCCTTCTAAGTAGACATCTTTACCCAACCCTGGACTTGAGGGGGACCACTAAGCACTCTGATGGACACCTGAAATACCTATGCCTTTCAATCTTTACAACAATCCTATGAGCTTGAGAGGGTTCATTCCTTTTCACAGACGAAGCAACTGAAGTTCAGAGAAGACAGGTGAACAAAAATGGGACTTTTTACAAGAAAATCTGGATTTGCAGCTTTTCTGGAAGAACCTGAAGACATGGCAACACCGGGCCTGCCTTCCCTTACCGCCACAATTGGCTGAGGCTGAGCAGCAGCTCCTTTGTTCAGAGGAGGTATGTGTACGACACATCTCCCCTCCGGCCTGCTCTGCTCCTCCATTTCTGTCCCTCCTATATCCCTGGAAGCAATACCCACTGAGGTGGCTTTACAGGCCTCCTCCCTCTATCACTCACCTTATATACTCTTCTCTTCAAGTACATTTTATTCTATACAAAATTTTTTTTGTTCCATTTAAGATTTTTGTATTGCATCAACTTAGTGACCGAACATGGCAAGATGACTTTTACTGATTGAGAGAGAGCTCACTGGGCCAGACTCTATTTTTCTTCCCTTTGACTGCACTCATATCCAATCAGGTGTACGTCCTACACACAAGGGCCACTTGGCAGAAAGGGGGCCTGTTGTTTTATGAGAGGCAGGCTGCAGGGCCCTTGTCAGAATACGGAGGTTGGCTCTAGGATGCAGTAATGACACAGACCCTCCCTATTATCTGGCAGTCAGCACTGTCCACTAGACTAGTAAACTTAATTCCCACCTACTCTTCTCTGCCTCACTTACAATTAGCTGAGCTGTAAGATCTAGAAGCTTCTGAGTCCTACCAAGGATCCATGTATCTACAAATTGTACTTGGCTCCACTCTAAAACCCCACCTGGCAGAAGAGTGTGGTGGTTGCGAGTGGCACCCAGGAGTCAGTCAGTTTGGGTCCAAATCCCAGCCCTGTGCTGCCTTAGGCAAGTTGTGCTTCAGCTTTCCCCTCTGAAAAACGTACTAATAATGGCATCTACCTAATATGGCTGCTGCAGAGATTAACCTACATTTTACTTATAAGTGTGCAAAATGCCTGGCATACAGGAGGCTGTCAAAATATTAGCTGCTGGTAGTATTACTATTTTTTTTTTTTTAATTTTTTTTGTGAGGAAGACCGGCTCTGAGCTAACATCTATTGCCAGTCCTCCTCCTCTTTTTGTCCCCCAAAGCCCCAGCAGATAGCTGTATGTCATAGTTGCACATCCTTCTAGTTGCTGTATGTGGGACGCGGCCTCAGCATGGCCGGAGAAGCGTTGCGTCGGTGCGCGCCCAGGATCCGAACCCGGACCGCCAGTAGCCGAGTGCGCGCACTTAACCGCTAAGCCACGGGGCCGGCCCCACTATTGTTAATTATGAGAACTGACATCATGTTCCACTAAGAGATCTGCAGATGAAAACGACCATATCAAAAAATTCTAAGGGAGTTTCTTGTATAAAGCTCTGCATACAAATTTCCCATGTTTGATGGAAATGAGTTTGTAAAATCCTTTCTAATTAAGAGGGCTTCTTTTAATATCAACAACAGGCTCTAAAGTAAGTGGATATTTTCAAATCTTAGAGTGCTCTTATTTTTTTTGTTAATAACCTGAGTTGGACATATATAGGCAACATCTTGGTGGTAAGGCTTAGAAATGACATAACATCAGCTACTGACCCTAACTCCTACTGCATTCCAAACACTTAGCCAATAGGAGAGCAACAGAAAAGATCCAAATAAAGCACAGTGTGGTGGTATGAAAATGTGTACTCTGGAACTAAACGTTCTGGGTTCAAATCCATTCCCTACCACTTACTGGCTGTGACCCTGGGCAAGTTACTTTTCTGTGTCTGAGTTTCCTTGTCTATAAAATGGGGATAATGACAATACTACCCATCTCAGAGCTATTGTGAAGACTGAACAAGTACATTTAAAGACTGGCATATAATAAGCACTGCTTGCGTGAACTATTATTATTAAGAAAAGAGACAACTAGGACAACAAGCCACAGATCACTACCACTTCTCCACTGACATGTACCATCAGAGAAAGAGCTTCTTTCCAGAGGTGACTCATATTTGGTCAGTCTCCTCAGTCTTAACGGTAAAGGTGCGAGCAGGGACCTCTCGATTCTCTGAGAGATCCAGGGAGGCTCAACAGAGGTGTGGCCAGGCTGATGCTAGGAGCAGAATGAGCCTTACCTTGGGTCTGATTTAAATCCGCACTGGGAACAGTAATGAAAAACAAAGAACAGCGGAGAGAGCCATGTGCTCTTCCGATGTGGAACAGTTTCCCTTTTCTTCTCTACTTCACTCTCTAGATGGCACAGTACCAAATTCTAATTTTTTTTTTTAGTGGTTTTTCAAAAAGCTGTACATTCAACAGACGATTACTATAATTACTATTTATAGCATCAGAGGATCTAAAATGCCTTTCATCCTTCCCAGAACCTCCTCTCTCCTACTCAGGACCAACTACAAGATTGTGTTTTCTAGAACTAATCAATTTCCTGCACCTCAGGCAGCTGGCAGTTTTATCCAATAACACTCTTAGGCAGTCCTCCACAAAGAGACTAGGAGTAAAGGGGAGGGAACAGTTAACTTAGGGATCTGGGCTCCAGATGATTTAGGGCCTCTGAACAGTATGTATAGGGAACAGAGTGCCGCTACAAGGCTGGCTCTCAGGATGAGGGTATTCCAGCGGTGGGTGCCTAATTAATAGCTGAATAAAGCCGATAAGATCTTTAAAATTTACTCAGTAGAATTCTGTTTTTTAACAGGGTACCAGGCACTGTTCTAGGCACTGGGGAGACTTGGCTCCTAGATACAATCAGGCACGAGTCCACAAAGATACACATCGCAGCCTAAAGCTAGAGGCCAGCACTCTAGCAGGGGCAAAGGAGGGGCTGGGCTCTGCAGTCGGAGGAAGAAGGGGCCAGGGAGATGGCAGAGCTGACATCAGCAACAGGTGAGGCTCCAGGACCCAAGCTCACCTTTCACGAGCCAGGTGGCCGTGGCAGCTGAAACAGAAGCTTTTGCGTTCCCTACCCCTATGCCTAGCAAGACTGCGTGGGTGGCCAGGGAGCCGGAGAGGCTGGAAGCAAAAGCCTGCAGAAGAAAAGAAGTGGGGTGAGGAGTGGGCGCAGGAGTATGGGGGCCTAAATTCTATTATCAGCTCTTCTTGGTGTGTGACGTGGAACACGTTACAGCTCCGCTCTGGGCCTCCTTCTCCAGTCTATAAATAGAAAGGGAGAGGTGGCCCGCACTGTTTCCCTTACCCCCGGCTAGATGCCGCCCCCTACCCGAGTCGGCCGGGCTGACCTGCACAGAATCCCATAGCTGGTAGGGCAGATAGTCCGGGCTGACGCTATCGGGGAAGCCCTGTGGCAGGAACACGGCCAGGAGCCGGGAGAGAAGCGGTGAGGCGGTCCCGGGAGCCCCCTCTCCACCCCCATCTCGTCCTTCGGGTTTTACTGTGACAGGCCCAGAGAACCCCCACCAGCGCCACCCCCAGGCCTCCCACTGCAGGCCCCCGTCGGCGGCGGCGCAGCAGCTCCGGGCCGCCCCGGAGCCGAACTGCTCGGAGCACAGCGGGGCCTCAAGACTCGCGTCGTCAGCCATGCCGGATCTCTTCCTTCGGCCCCACTTGAGAAACGTGGCAAGACTACGTTTCCGCTCGGCTACGGCGGCTGCAGAGGGGCAATCTTCCTTCGCGAAAGGAAAGCCGCTCCCGTGTCTTCGTTTGTCCAGCCCAGGAGCCAGACTCTTCCTCTCTGACCTCTCGGACATCTCAGGGCTGATCCTGGCCTTTGTTCTTTGTAGCATTTTGTAGCTGGGCTGCGGGAGTAATGGGGGCCCTTTGACCCGCCTAGTCCTGGAGGTACCTGCATTCCTGTGACCTACAACTTCCAGCTATGGGGAGAAGGAAAAAGGGCGTACCTAGGGAACCATTGTGTTGTGTGCCCCGGGGCGGCCACAGAATTTGTAACTGGGTGACTTTGGGCAAGTCAATGTCCTTCTCTGGGCCTTAGGTACCTTCTTTGTTGTGAGACCAGGGACTATATTTTACTCCTTATTTTATCCTCGGTACATAACACATAGTAGGTGCTTAAAAGATATTTATGAATGAATGAATGAATGCGTGATGAGAAGAAGTTGGACCAGATGATCCCTGAGGCTCTGTTAAGCTTCCCTTTTTTTTTGTTTTTCCTCCCGGCCTCTCTGGCCTTCTGATAGGGATTCTCTGCCCTTCAGCCTTCTCCAAGACTGAAAGAGGATTATTTCTGAAAGGATCCTAAGGACATCTGAGGAATGAGAAAATCAAGGGATTGCAGTTAATAGTGTCAGAAAACAAGAGAAATAGGCAAGAAGTTCTTGTGTGTTTATTGGGGAAGAGGGTCCATGAAGTTGGAGGGAGAGTCTAACAGTGTTTCTCTCCCTCCCAACTCACATCTTTTCTTTTCCCTCTCTCCCTTTCTCCTTCTTATCTAGTGCAATGTACTGACTCCAAAGTAGAAATTTGCAAAAAGTGCCCTCTCTTTATCAGAAAATAAAACATCCTGGTTCCTCAGCCTGGAACACCCTTCTACTCCACATTATCTTATCTGAGACCTATACAGAGTCTCTCTGAGGCTGAGATAGACCCTGAGCACTTTTTTTTTCCTTCTTTGTTTTACGTTTTGAGTTTCCTGTTAGAGTGAAAAATTGAAGGGTAACAAACATGTAATATTTTAAATGTTAGCTTCTGTGACTGTATTGAGCTTGGAGGCCGACCTCTATGAATGAATTCCATCAGAGGGCCTTAGTTCTGTCACTTAGTATCTGTGAGATCTTGGGCAAGTTTCTTGTCTCTCTGTCCTTCAGTTTCTTCATCTGAAAAATGGGAATAATACTAATTCTTACCACATAGGGTTGGGATGAGGATTAAATGAGTCGTATGTGTAAAGCTCTTAAACTATGTTTGGCACATAGTACATGCTATTTAAGTGTTGACCATTATTTCGAATTAATGTCAAGTATTCAAATGTGAGGCCCTTTGCTCCATATGAGGCAGGTCAAATGGCCACTAGCATCACCATATAATTTATTGTCCAAATCAAGATTTTTGAGAGTGTCATTAAAGGAAGCGCTATTAATAATTACACTGGGATAACAGGTGGAGCTGTCCTGGGTGGATTGAGAGAGATGGTCATGCTATTTATTTCTCATAGTGGTAACAAATATTTTATACTCTAGATAAAGGAAAACATGTTCACACAAAAATCTGTACACAGGGGCGTAGTGGTTAAGTGTGCGCGCTCCGCTTTGGCGGCCCGAGGGTTTGCAGGTTTGGATCCTGGGCACACACTGATGTACCGCTTGTCAAGCCACGCTGTGGCAGCGTCCCACATAAAGTAGAGGAAGACGGGCACAGATGTTAGCCCACGGCCAATCTTCCTTGGCAAAAAGAGGAGGATTGGCATCAGATGTTAGCTCAGGGCTGATCTTCCTCACCAAAAAAAAAAAAAAAATTTGTACACAAATATTTATAGCAGCTCTATTCATGCTTGTCAAAAGCTGCAAAAAATCCAGATGCCCTTCAGTGGGTGAACGAATAAACAAGCTGTAGTGCATCCCTGTGATGCACACTCAACAAATAGAAGGAACAACTTACTGTTACTTGCCACAACTTGGATGAACCCTAAGGGCATTATTCTGAGTGAAAGAAGCTAGTCTCAAAGGAATGTACGATTTCATTAGAGGACACCCTCAGAAACACTGAACTGTAGTGATGGAGAACAGATAAGTGGTTGGCAGGGTTTAGGCATGGGAGTGGGGGTGACTACAAAGGGATAGCACGAAGGAGTTTTTTGGGGTGATGGAAATGTTCTGTATCCTGATTGTGGTGGTAGTTATGTGAATCTATGTATTAAAATTCATAGATTGTACACCAAAAGGAAGTCAATTTTGCTGTATGTTAATTAAGAAAATGCTGTAAACAAAAAAGGAAATCAGCAAACCTCTATGAGTGTATAGGTAGGTGCCTATGAATGTTGGTTTTTGAATGGAGGAAGACGTGACAGGAAATTCACACATCTTTAATGCTTGTTACTTTGTGAGGAGAGGGAGCAAAAAGGATCAACTTTTTCAGTGTACATTTTTCTCGTTTCATTTATTTTAACTAGTATACAGTGATTTTGAAATTTGAAAAACATCCACCAAAAAGAGAAAACATTAGGAAAATATTTAAAAAGAAGAAAAAGAGTATTTCTGCTTTGTTGAGTACCTGACGATATGGTAGAGAACAAGACAGATGTGTCTCTGTTCTTGTGGAGAGCAGCCTGGTAGGGTCCAGTCCCCACATCTTACAGATGGCTCATCTGCAAAATGTGGCTATCATCAGCACCTGTCTAATAGGATTTTTTAATAAGGATAAATACCTATTAAGGTATTTGATACTTGAAACAGTGCCTGGCACAAATGATAAATGTAATGTAAGCTGCTATTAATATATCATCTATGATGATGTGATATATCATATATCATCATATAGTTAATGTCAGTTTTGTTAGCATCTGGAGCCTGGATACTGGGATGTGGGGCAGAAGGCAGGGTTTTCTGGGTCTCCCCACTTATCTGTTTTTCTTGGCCTTGCTATCTTTCTAACTTCAGGGAAGCCTCTCCCTCCTTCCCCTCCCCTGGTTGACCTATCACCCTCCCTCAGGTCCTAGACGCAGGGCGTTTCCCTCTTAGGACTATACTTGACTCTTTGTCTACATCTAGCTTGGCACAGAGGGGCAGACATATCCTGAAAAGTGTGGGTGAGACATACATAGCACTCTTGGACCTGAAGGTGAGCCAACCTGGGAGAAACATGATCTTTCAGCATGGCAGGATTTGAAAGGTGTTGGAGGGGAGGTGGCCCCGCAGGGCACCAGGGATCTTTAAGGGGAGTGAGGGAATTGGAGGAAATACCCAGGGATGAGGGAAAAGGATACTTAAATTCTATTTCTTTCTCTAACCAGGCAGATGGCCCTTCTTCAGGCTAATAAGGATCTCATTGCCACAGGAATTAAGGAATTTAATGTTCTGCTGAATCAGCAGGTAAGCCCAGGTCCTCTGTTTCAAAGGACAGGCCTGGAGTGTTGGGGATGGGTGAGAGCAGAGAAGAGAGAAGAATTTGGAGCTGGGAGAGTAATGGTGGAGTTGATGGAAACAATTAGAAACAGGGAAAACAAATCAGAGAAAAGAGGATTTCAGAGTTTGTGGATTATTCCCGAATCGCATTGCTGACCACATTCGCCCCGTGCAAATCTCCCCCCACCCCCCAGGTCTTCTCTGATCCTCCTATCTCTGAAGAAGCCATGGTGACTGTGCTGGATGACTGGGTGAACTTCTACATCAACTATTACAAGGAGCAGATGGTGGGGGAGCAGCAGGAGCAGGACAGGGCTCTGCAGGAACTTCGGCAAGAGCTGAATACTCTGTCTGCCCCTTTCCTGGCCAAATATAAGGCATTCCTGAAGTCCTTGTGAGCACCCTAACCACCCACTGCCTTTCTCCTAGCCCAGAGACAGGCCTGCATCTCCAGGAAACCCTTAAATCCCGCCTCTGTATTCCTCAAATCCTCATGCTCTTGCCCGTTCATAGTGTTATTCTACCTTGAAACCTCAATAAAGACGGATACTGGTTTTTCCGGTCTTCTCTGCTCTTGGGCTCTGTTTTGGTTGTTGGTCCCTGACTTGTGGAGGCAGTTGGTCCCTTTTCTTTCAGCCCTGCTTCCTAGACGTGATCTTGGATATTTAATTCCTTACAGCAGAGGTTAGCAGCCTTAAGTAACCAATGGGCAGTACTGAAATAGGCTGAAGGAGGGGCCAAGCAGGCAGAGACTACAGAGAAAGTGCTGGGGGGAGGGATGGTAGGAAAAAAGAGGGAGACAGAGGCTCTCCAGAAACTGTGGTCCTGTGACATACTTGTCTATAGAGAGTTGATGGAAGTCTCCCGGTCTTCATCCTACACTAGGTGAAATCAAGAGTCCAACCGCCTCAATTTTCCAATCCCCTGCCCTTAATCCCAGCTTGAACAAAGTAGTAGGATCTTCTAACTCTAAAGACTACCACAGAATACCTCCCCGGAGTATCGCTGTGATTTAGAGTTGGAAGGGATCTTTGGAACCACTCAGCACATCCCTTATTTTTCAGACGGGAAAACCTTTGGCTCCCTTATCCCTCATCCCCAGATCTCAAGATTAGGAAGCAGCGATTCCTGCCCACCTTCCCTGCTGCCCCAACCTACTCCAGTCACTCTCCGGAGGAGACCTCCTTTCCCTTCGACCTCCAGACCCTAAGCCTCCTTATTTTAGGGCTCTAGGGTGGAACCAGGGCCAGGCCAGTCTCACGAGATTTTAAAAAACGAAATGACGATTAGGGAGAATGCGGACGGGCCCCCCGGCTGTGCTATCTCCACGGAACGCCTCGGCGCAGAGAGGGAGAGCGCGCGCGGGGCAGGAGGGGCGGGTCTAGGAGGCGGGGCGCGCCAATCAGACGCTGTGCGTGGCGCGCGCCCCGGGAGGTGGCGGGGTGCTCTCCTGGTCGTTGTGTGTGATATGTCTTCAGCCGGAAAGGTTTGGGGCTGAGAGGGATAGTTTTCTCATTCCAGCCTCCAGCAAGCCTTCATTTCGGATCTGTGCACTCCCATCTCCGACGTTTGGTTTTTGGGCCTCTGTAGTCTGGTTCAAGGTCCAAAGGGAACGAACTCAGTGCCCCTAACCGTCCTTCCAAACTTGGGGAGGCCCCAGACCAGCAAGAGCGGCAGCCTCCCAGGGAACCGGCCAGCGAGGTCCTCTGAGGTGTGGTTGGTGGTCCAGGTGGAAGCCAGGGCCTTCTCGCGAAGTCTTAGCCCGTTAATGGGGACACAGGGCTTGCTTAGGTGGGACAGTAGTAAATAGCCTTACATTTGCAAAAAGACCCAGACTACTGTGCCACGGGTGGAGGAGAGAGACCACCGAGGAATCATTTGAAAACAGTATGAGATTTACTCTGTTGCTGTATGAAATGTAGCTGAAAAGACTGGTCAGAAGCCACGTTGGCTCAAATAGCAAAGATAAGCTTTTCATAAATTGGGAACTATCCAGCCTTGGAGCTTCGAGCTAACCATTTCTCAAATGCTCAAAGGAAGATGACCAATTATCAGGTATGTTGTAGTGGAATGAGAACCTCAACATCTAAATTCTGTTCTACTCCTTCCATAAGCTGTATGAAATTGAGAAGTTGCAAAACTTTTTTTTAGGACAGAAACCTGTTACACTGCACTGCATGTTCCTATGACCCAAGCATCTGGTCGTAAATCTACAAAGAAGTAAGCTTTGGAATATTTTGATTTTTCAGAGATGGTGGTATGAACCATCAGGATCTGATGGTCCAAATAATAAAATTAAAATTACTGGGACAGTGAGTACTCCAAATCCATTACTGTTCCTGCAGAAAAATTAACCAGAATTAGCAGGAAGAGTAATGCTTCTTTTGCTTTGACAGCAGTATCTGAATTAATACTAGAAATAAGATTGTAAAAAAAAGGTGAGGGCCGGCCCCGTGGCTTAGCGGTTAAGTGCGTGCGCTCTGCTGCTGGTGTTCCGGGTTCGGATCCCGGGCGCGCACCGACACACTGCTTCTCTGGCCATGCTGAGGCCGCGTCCCACATACAGCAACTAGAAGAATGTGCAGCTATGACATACAACTATCTACTGGGGCTTTGGGGGGAAAAATAAATAAATAAAATCTTTAAAAAAAAAAAAAAAGGTGAAATATTACAGCCATAACCCTGCCCTTATCCTTGCCCTGACAATGACCCTGACCCTAGGGCTGACTCTGAACTTGAACCTCACTTTTAACCTCATTCTGACCCTGACACCTACCCAGTCCCACTTGACCTTGATCCTGTCCATGATAGACACCCTTACCGTCCCAAGACCCTGACCTTCACGCTGACATTGTCTCTTATTCTCACCCTCACACTGATCTGGATGCTGAACCAAACCCTGAACCTTACGTGACCCTAACATTCACCCTGACACTGACCCTGACCCTCAACCTGAATCTTGTTTTGACCCTTACCCTGAAATTGACCCTCACTATGACCCAACCCTAACCATGACATTGACTCTCAGCATGTCCCTGACCCTGACTGTGACCATGACATTTACCCTCACCTTCATACTGACCCTGACCAAGACCCTCACTAAGGCCCTGGCATTCACACCGACTCTGATCCTGAATCTGACACTTAACCTGACCCTCACCTTGACCTGAATTATCAATCTGACACTGACCAACACCCTGACTTTGACCCTGAAGCTGATCCTGACACTACTACCACTGGGACCCTGATCCTGACCTTAACTCTCAAGCTTTCCTGACGATGACCCTCACCCTGACATTGACCCTGTCCTTCAACCTGATCCTTACCATTACCCTGAACCTGCTTCTCACCAAGACACTGACTGTGACATTGAAACAGACTCTGAACCCCACTCTATCCCTCATTCCAACTCTAATCCTGACCGTGACACTCATTCTCAACCTGACCCTGACTCTTACCAAGAATCTGACATTTATAAACTGACCCTCACCCGTACCCTGACCTCAATCCTGAAGCTTACCTGTCTCAGACCCTCACCTTCAACTTCACTGTACACCCGACCCATACCCTGACCCTTATATGACCTTCAACCTGAGTCTAACCCAATACTGATATTTGCTTTTACTCTGACTGAGACCTTCACACTCATGCTAATCCTGACCCTCACCCTCATCCTAAATTTGATTTAGTTACCCTCATGCTGAACCTGACCCTAGGATGACTTTTGACCCTGACCCTCACCCTGACACCAAACATGATACAGACCTAACTTTGTCCCTGACACTGAGCATGACTCTTACACTGAAGCTCACCTTAACTATGACACTGATGCAACCTAGTCACCAATTTTGATTGTCACCATCACCCTAACTTAGAACGTGTCCCTCACACTGACCTTGATCACTACCCTGATGCTGACACTCAACCTGACCCTGATATCAATCATGACCTCACCTTGACCTACAACCTTGCTGATGGAAATTCTCACTCTGACCCTTGCCCTCACCATGATGCTAACCTTCACACTGATATTTAACCTGACTCTTACCTCACCCAAACCCTGACCCTGGCCATGATCTCACCCCAACATTCCCCTGAACCATGACCCTGACCCTGAACCTCACTTTCATACTTATCTTGACCCTAACTCTCACCTTGACCCTGACCCTGATACTGTGACTGTTGCTGAATCTCATCCTCATTTTGACCTTTACTTGATGCTCATTGTGACCCTGATCCTCAAATTCAACTTACCATGATCCTGACCCTGATCTTCCACCTTAATCTAACTCTGATCATCACCCGGACTCTGACCTTACCCTCACCCTGTCCCCGTGAGTCTCACCTTAACTCCCATCCTGACTCTGACCTTCAAGGTGACCTTGACTCTTACACAGAATATGACCTTGAACCTTACCCTAACACTGAACATGACTGTGATTCTGATGTTCAGCTTGCCCCTGACTCTGATGCTCACATAAACACTGACTCTGATTCTCACCCTCAACATGACCCTGAACTGGTCCCACACACTGTCCTTTACCCTGGCTGTGACCATCACACTGACCATGACCCTTAATATGATGCTGACAACAACCACCCTGACTGTGACCCTCACTCTACAGTGAATCTCATCTTTATCTTGACCTTTACTTAATACTTACTCTGACCCTGACACTCACATTCACACTAACTTTGACTATGACCCTTACTCTGATCTCTATCTTAACACTACCCAGACCCTGATCCTCATCAAGACCCTGACACTTGCCCCAGCCATCCCCTGAACCTGACTTGAACCTCATGTTCACACTCCTCTTGAACCTGATCATCACCACAATCCTGAAAGAGCCACTGAAACTCATTCTCACCCTGACCCTTACTTGATACTAACTCTGACTCTGACCCTGACCCTCACACTCACTATGATACTGACTGTGACCCTTAACCTGACTATGATTCTGATCCTCACTGTGACACTTACTTTTACCCAAATGATTTACTGAACATTGAACCCATACAGATCCTGAACCTGATCTGCAGCCTTGACCAGACTTTCATGTAAACTTGAACCTGACACGGAGCCTCATCCTCACCCTGACCCTTACTTGATGCTCAATCTAAATCTGACCCTCATTCTCACTTTTACCATGACCCCGACCTTAACCCTCAACCTGACTCTCACACTTGTCATCTACTTGACTTTATTTTATTTATTTATTTATTTATTTATTTATTTATTTATTTATTTATTTATTTATTATTTGTGAGGAGGATCAGCCCTGAGCTCACATCTGATACCAATCCTCCTCTTTTTGCTGAGGAGGATCAGCCCTGAGCTAACATCCATGCTAATCCTCCTCTTTTTGCTGAGGAAGACCAGCTCTGAGCTAACATCTATTGCCAATCCTCCTCCTTTTTTTATTTTCCCCAAAGCCCCACTAGATACTTGTATGCCACAGTTGCACATCCTTCTAGTTGCTGTATGTGGAACTCAGCCTCAGCATGGCCGGAGAAGCGGTGCGTCGGTGCGCGCCCGGGGTCCGAACCCAGGCCGCCAGTAG